GGATTCAAAACAAATGTACACCTTACAGGTCCTAATATCTATTTATGTGCTAACTTCAACAATTTCTTTGGGCATACCAAAATACCAATCAAAATGAGTTACGTTGTTCTGAAAGTAATTCTTTGACTATTGTATTTTACATGCTATCGAGTATGCGTATATTGGCACGTTGTAAAAAACTACTTCTATTTGGACTTGATTGTTAAAGTTACTAGCTTTAAACTTTATTTCATTTCTATGTTGGGGCCACTAAACATTTAAGGATTGACTGTGTATTTCTTTCGTTGCATTGAGGTATGAAACTAAAACCAATGTGCAAACTGTATGAATCCGCGTAGCCTGAATTCTTACAAAAGTTGCACATTGGTTTAGTTCAATAATCTCAACTGCTATCCCCTGATCAATCCTTATAATTAAATTCAACAACAAATACTATAGGCTTTCAACAATATTTTATTTTAACACAATCAAATTCATCGAAACAGATATATTTGTTACCACCGATTAACATTTTCGGTGTAAGAATTCGACCAATGGCGTGACATGACTCAGGTGACTCATTTACATAAAATGACACGCCTACCAACCATTAGCCAATCAGCATAGAGCACCCCCAAACAGCTGTCAATCAACCAAGCTAACATCAGGGTAGCGAATCAGAGCGGAACAACACAACGTGACGCGTTCCGGTAACAGCAAAGTTTCAAGTTCAAACATTTGAATTATTACCAGCGAACTGAAAGACACAGTTTGAAAAGTGAGAATTGGAAATGAAGCCCGATGACATGAAGTTAGTGGAACTGAGATTGTTAGTGGCAGCAGTTTTGCGCAAGTGGAAAGGGGCTGTGATGTGACTGGGATTGCGATGCCATGAACTGATGTTCCAACATGCGCATGCTCTTGTCGAGGCGTTACAATGGCGGAAAGCGTCTCGCTAATTGTTAGTTTTGAGAGTAGTCGTTGTGTGGCGACTATAACTACGCACGGAACTTTCATTCCTATGGCCACTCATAAACATTATGTGACAAAGTTCAAAGCCAGCGTCACTCATGGCTTGGATTGCTGTGGCGCGAAGGCAATGAAGCAGTGTATGACTGACTACATTGGGCATTGCGACATATGTCAGAAATGAAACGAGTGAACTGGTATTTTTGACTGGGGTTGCTGTATACCAAATGTTGTGTGCGTCTGGAGAATTAAAGTGCATCTTTATTACAGTGCGAAAAAGTGATCCGGCATTTGGGTCACTTTTTGTCAAAGAGCTGGCGAAGTGCATTGACGGAACATTGGGTTATATCATTCGTCGCGTATACATGTATTCGTTTTCGGCTTTGCGCTTCATCGCTGCTGAGACCACCCTGGATGTTTTTTGGTTTCGTTTCGTGGGACAGTGTGACATATTCAACATTGCTATCATCTACCGCAAATTCAAAGGATGTGGGCGTAAGCTGCTGGTGAAATTCAAGACCACGACTTACAAAATGGATGGCCAAGTCGTACCATACTTTGTACCGGAGGATAACAGGATTGGATGCCGAATGCAGATAAGTGCTAATTTTCATCAGATCACTTGTTTCAATGATTGATTTATGTTGTGTGGGACGCGACAAGCCATGTTGTACATTGTAGTTTAATTTAGCATCAAGCATATCATGTGCAGACTTAAACTGCTTATCTCTTACAATGTCAATATCTCTCCCGATATCATTTAAGTGTCTTTTCAGGGCAGAACGAACATTTTTCAAAGTGTTCTTGTGATACTCGGCAGCATGTGCAGCCGGCATATTTTCATATCTTGCTTCCTGGTTTTTAGGCTGTGCCTCAGCGTAGACAAATCTCAACATTGTGTTAAGTTCCTCTGGTGTAATTGTTGAAAATCCAGTCCTCCCCTCGCTCTCGAACGACCAATCTAAATAAACAAAACGAAAACAATATCTAGAAACCTGACTATGACAGACCCAACTATGTAAACTTTGAACTAGGTAACTTTATAGCAAATCATTTTTCTCGGTTAAATCTACATAATATAATCTCATTCTGATAATTGTTCCATTTTAAAAAATACAACTTTGTGCTGATGAACTGTGTTTCGTTTTGAGAAAATATACGTAGGATGGAATTTGAAAATAATATTTATATGAATTGTGTATATCTACCTTGGAATAGTTTAACACCCCATTTTGTGTTTCTTTTTGTGGATGTTGATTGTCCGTAGTCGTCCATTCGAAGTAAATCATTATTTGATAAACGTTTGAAACGATGTGTTTGGGATGGCTTATCATCGACTTGCATTGCACGTCATCTCGTGATTTGCCGATGTTTTTGTAGATCTGGTTGATGCTGTTATCTCTAACAAACTTTCAATTTCTTCCAGGTCTAAATCATCCGGAAAATCAATGTTATCCGTGCTAAAGAGTTGCAACGTTTCCGGTAGATTGATCTTCGAAAATCGACTCAAAATTCACCAGATCAAAACTTCCGTACTTGGAATCGGCCATCTTGTTGGAATGTAAACAAGACAAGTTGCAGACGACTGTTCGCTGACTGCACGTGGTAACCACAGTAACCAGTCAAATAATGTATTATGACAAACACTTTTTTATTAAATAAACACTCTATTAACGTTCACGGATGATTTTGAGTTGTTTGTTTATATTAACTCACAATGTATCACTTCAATGTTTACCCAAAGTTCATTAAGGTACCCGAGTGCAAGGGAATTCCCTCGCTGTGTAAAGGTATTCCCCGACATTCCTCAGGTCCGAAAGTAGTCCGGTTCGGTGGGCGTGGCTTATTTTTTTAGATTCATTGGGAAATGAAATCAAAAGAAATGTTCCCAGTTAACCAATCAGATTGCCAGAATTTTAATGAACACAATAAAAATGTAATTATTACCTCGTGAACGAAGTCCAAAGCATTTATCGAGAATTTACTACTTGAACTTCAGCACCAAAACAAGCATATATATAACGCTGATAAAAATACCCTTGTAGAGAAGGCCTGTGTTCACCAGGCACGAGTGTTGTTTACATCGTTTCGTTGCCATGAAGTCGACAATGGAGTTGAAGGCAGTCTGACGTCCCATATCTTGACTTGCTGGCGCATCACGTTAACAGTCTATGAACACATTTCGTGACTCACAAATCAGTACACGTGTTATTATACTGTGGTTGGGTCGAACAGCCATCGAAGGGGCCAAATAATAGGTCGCAACCTATATCTCTGCGGACAAATATATCTGTATGATCTGGGTTGTGGCAGTGTCTTGGATCTTCGGGTGACCCACTGACTTAGATATTCAGAATCCACCTCAGACATTCGCCGTCGCTAGGTCACAACGTCCATCTCATCGAGAGTAATGTTATAAAAGCAATATACACAACAATAAAGTGGAGCACTTTTATGGATAGACAACTTCTTTGTTGCAGTAGTAGTTGCGACGTTTTGGTGTAGATCCTGACACCGTTATCAAGCAAATGATACACAACAGCCATTTCCGACCACACCCAAGCCAACCCGAACCATACCATACTTTGGAACAACATCAACATCCTTGAAGACAGCAGGTCAGATTACAAGATAAGAAAACTCTTAGAGGCAATCAACATCAAACGACTGAACCCGGCAATCAACACAGATCAAGGTTATTACACCCCCACGGCTTACGATCAACTAATCAAGCCTAATCCACCCTTTGTCTACTGGCTTCAATGATTTCTTATCAAAACAAGTCTCAAGTCAACACACCGTACAGCACCAAAAACCGGATAGTAAACCATTGAAATATTCGTAAATACAGTAGGAAATACATGCCATGACCGGATTTACGTATGTTTTCAGATATTTCCGAACTTCGAGCGTATATTTCATATGAATCTATACCTTTGAAACATATGCTCATCACACATTTTCGTATGCACAAGCACCTCGTTCATGTATGCCATGACCGGATTGTCAGGGATTTCCAAACATGAATTGTAAAACAGATACCCCGGTAAATACATGATCATACAGTATTTCCAATGCATTCCTGTGAATTTCAGTGGGTGTGGAAATGTCCGATTCCGTTCTAAGTTTACTATGGTTGAAAATATGGGTATTTCCTTAGGTGGGGAAACACATGTAAATTTTCAAATTTGCAAATGTTTACATGCCTTAGATATTTATGCATCATACCGGATTTCAGGGGTACGTATATGAACGGTTCATACATGTTCATGTGACCTGTGCTCAGGCAAGATGGTCATATGTTTCCATGTTTTGAAATACTTGTTTCATGTTACTTCATTTTCACATATTTTGATACGTTTGAAATTATCGTTCATGTGACCTCATTAATCTTATCAATTAACTGGTGTAGCCAAGAAAGCAGTATTATGCAAGCTAACACGCCTTCTCATGTTGCATTCGCGCTTCCTACCAGTATCAGTTACGTCTTGTAATGCGCTGCCTGTATCGAGGATCAAAAGCACAGCGATGAACAAAATGAGATCCCCTTTGTCCTCACAGGTGTCCCTAGATATATCCCGACAGAATAGTCCTATATTTCTGTTAGAGCACAGGCAAATACCCCCAACTATCCGACTCTTAATTTCAATGTTTATGCAGCTCGAACTGATGTGTAAACTGTAATTCTGGGAGTTACATAATTGAAATATCATTGCACAACACGTGGCCCTTTTTAATAGCCTCATAGTGGTTTAACCATGTTATTACCCATTCCGCTCAGCCTTTACTGTAAATATAACAACCATGAATAAGCAAGACTAACTTTTCCACTGTATCTCCCATCTCACTGATTCTCTTTTCCAAGTAGCTCTATATTCAAGTGATATACTTTCAAAGACTACCTATAGCGTTAGTCTTGACATACAGGCTTGATCTACACTTCATGCAATAACACTGAGCTTGGCCACAGCTGTTTCAATAACGCAAATATAGACGATAACAAACAATGTCATATCAAATGATTTATTGTGGTACTTATATGAGTCCTTGTATGCGGTGTTTTATGCCCGTAAGGCATAGTCTGGGGCATCTGATGGTGGCATCCGTTCACTGGGCAGGCCATATGTTCGGACAAGGAATGCAGGCCCGCCATGCCTTTTGGACATCCGCCTTGAGTGTCCATCTAGGCGTTTGAAGTGCCGATCCACAAACTCTGATCCCCAAGGCAACGGTCTTAAAAGGAAATGTTTGGCTGCCTCGTTTTCATCTTCTCCTTCTTCGGAGAAGTCCTCCTCACTCGAGATATACTCATTTGATTGCAGCAGTCTCTGTAATTTGGACACCTCGTCCGTTGGCATTTTTCCTTCTAACACACGGAGAGCCGTTCGCCTGCGGTTGCGTTTCTGCAAGGAAACCATGATATTATAATAATACAGCTTCAAGAGGTTACCATTTTTTATGCGTGACCAAAAAATCTGTAATATCCCTATTTGTCATTTCAGATTAACCACTACCGACAAATAAACTTCACTACATCTATCTTATACTAATTTGCTGAAAGTGTTGGCGGTAAAGGTAGCCAAACTTGGGTATGAAATAAGAAAATAACGTGGAGGCACAAAAACATGATCCCAAGATTTGCAACTGTTATGGGACGTAACAAACGACACGACGCAACTGTGCAAAACTTAATCGACAATAGTTCCGTGTCTGTTTTAAATAACCACTGGTTTCATTAATATTGATCTAATTTGTCTTAAGTTTTAACGATGTTGTGTCTTTATGGAAGTACTATCAGAATCAGTAGTTCAATTAAAAAGCTTCTCGTGTAATTTGTCGAAGTTTTATTAAATGGATTCAAACAAACACAAAAACTGCATTCTAGTATACTAAAATGCAAATGCAGTCAACACAAATCATTGTTCTGTTTGTATATATTGCAACTTACGTTTGCTTTCCTCTGCTGTCTTTTTAGCTTTTTCCTGCAGTCCTGCAACACCCCCTTCTCCTTCTTCTTAAAAGTCGACTTTAAGCAATGAAAGTAGGTCACGGCTGCCTCTGCAAATATGTTTTTGTATTTCAATTGTATTCATTGCTTATTTAAGGAAGTGAGTGAGTTTAGTTTTACGCCGCATTCAGCAATATTCCAGCTATATGGCAGCGGTCTGTAAGTTGATACAGTGATCAACAGCATGGGCATCGATCTGCGCAATTGGGAACCGATGACATGTGTCAACCAAGCCAGCGATCTTGACCACCCGATACCGTTAATCGCCTCTTACGACAAGCATGGGTTACTGAAGGTTCATTCTAACCCGGACCTTCACGGGTGGAGTGAACTGAGTAGGTGAGTGAGTGAGTGAATAGTGGTGAATAAACATGGTTATAGATAATTTACAGATGTTTCATCAATGAGTCAGTTATGGAAAGTACATGTTCATTGTTTACATCAGTTGTGTTTACAGCAATACTATTATCAATGCTTATTTCTTGTCAGGTCGTAAACGCACGTTTAAAATATTTGTCGTTGACTTGCTGCTCCTCCCGGCTGTTGATGAGTTGTTTCGCTTTTTTTGTTACCTCTCGGTTAATAGGATGATCAAATCTGAAAAGAAAATGATTTTCTTGTGGTCTAGGTTTATAGTTTTCTAGTTATAACTGTATACGACATTTTTAAACATATTCTAAAGCAAGTGTACAGACTGAAGTATACAATTTTACCTCAGCGTAAAATCCCATTTCGTTGGTTCATCAGATTCAGCAAGTTCCCTTACATCATAACGGACGGATGCCTAAAGAATAAAGGATTTGTTTGGTAAATTTTAAAAACAAGCATCTCTCTCTCTCTCTCTCTCTCTCTCTCTCTCTCTCTCTCTCTCTCTCTCTCTCTCTCTCTCTCTCTCTCTCTCTCTCTCTCTCTCTCTCTCTCTCTCTCTGAATTATAGCAATCTTGGATATCAACATTGTGGATATTGTGACAAATCTTTAAAACACTACCAAAATGCAACGTAACAAAAAGCAAAATAACGACATTACCTTTACTGACGGTGGAACCTTCCTTCCTCTGCCTTGGGTAAGGCCTGCTAGTCTGCATAGGTCGTCCACATTCACTTTCACTGCTATTTCTCGCTCGTTCAAATCTATAGAAGAAAGTAATATTACAAAAAGCTAGAGGATAGTTAAATCATCTTGGAATAATAATGACCGCAATGTATATTGATATCGTAAGTCATTACATGAATGTCACGAATTTAATGCATCGAACCCTGGTATAAAATGCATATTGAAATTAATGCGAGTGTCATTGCATAAGAGTAATGCAACCACATAGCTAAACACACTATCACAAACGTGTGCTCGGACTAATATCTTTGAGTTGAGAGAGAGTTTATTGACAGTATGGGGGGCCACTGGCCCATTATACATACAGAAGATACAGTGTATTACACCACCAAGCGCCTGCGACATATACATATACACACATACACACACATACATATATGTATATACATACATATACATACATACATACACATATATATATATCATTCATGCAATGACAGGAAACGTGCTCGTAGTTTGAACGCTAAGAATACATACTTTGCAAGCAATGATAACACATGGACATTTTTACTTGCTATCAACTGTTTAAATTTGTTTTCCGAAGGGAATGTATGATAATAGGCAGGAATAATAGCTCGTCTCAGTCCATCATAAAATGGGCATACTAAACAAAAATGATATTCTGATTCAATATTTCTAACCACACACAAAGGACATAACCTTTCTTCCCTAGCTAAACCTAGTTTCCTACCTTGTTCAATTAATAATATATGACTGGAGCAGCGGAGTGATGAAAGGGCAATACAGTAAACTTTCACTGGTAAACACGAGAGGTAAAGTTCAAAATTTGCGTCATGTTTTATAGAACGGTACAGAGTTAGTTTATTATACTTACGGAGGGCTTCGATCATGTGTCCGAGTGCCATCCTTACCGTTAACGTCACCGTTATGAAGGGGTTGCGGAGATAAAGTACCCGGATGTGAGGGTTTTCAAAAGGCGTGTTCACACGTGGTCTCCCGCCTTCTTGGCCTGTATTTTGTCCAACCTGTTAGACAACCGTCTAGCGACGTCAGTGTGCGTGTGTTAGCATACAAAACGGAATACTGAATTTAAAAATATATTGAAAATGTTTGGTATCGTTTCTTTTGGACATTAGTTTAGTTACGGTGGCTCACAACATTACGAACGTTTTGTCTGACTACAGCATGGCCCAACACTCAGGCTGAAACGTGCTTTACAACTCCAGCTGGGAAATTGAGGAAACAATTCTGTTTATGTGTCACGTGAGTTAATATGAACACACAATAGCAACACGCACTAAACAGAGTAAGGGAGGTATCTGAATTGTCTCCAAAATGTTTTCGTGAGAGATTTGTTTCTAAATGTCAAATCAGAAAATGTAAAAAATTGTATAATTTAACATGGTATTGGGTAATTTGTAGTAAATCGAACAATTTGATTTTGCTATTTTGTGAGAAAACACGAAACGCCACTGATTACTTCCGATAATGTTCCCACGACAAAGGAGCATTAGCGAGATCCAGCCTTGATGTACAGCGGTAATAGTTCATCCGATCCGGGAATTACCTCATAGCTATCAAGTTATAAAGGTCAGACTAATTTCACCTGATAATTGTTCCCGATAATAGCTACAGTCACTGTGAAAATTGTGAATCCGGACAGAGGCACTCCCAATGAACACCTTGTGTTGGTGTTCATGTTAGGTGAGTGGAGTGTGTTTCACTGCAGCTGCAGTAACATTGTGAAAACCTCCTGTGTGTACCTTGCAGCCTAGCCGATAGTCGATGACGCAAGAACATGACTGCCAAAATTGATGCTAAAGTGTCTGCAGGGTGTGAACATTATTTTATGAAAAAAACTGCCATTACTCCTCAAATGAAAATAAAATATCTTATTGAATATCGGATTGATTATGTTCAGTTTCATCTATTAAAGTTTTCATCGCTTTAAACTTGTCAGATTACGTGGAAAAAACTGCATGTGCCGTTATGATTCAAAGATTATGTCCTTGCTTTCAAGCCGTACGTCAAGACATGCACTGTAGTGAGTGTTGCTCCCCGCAACTGGGGTACAAGACATTTACTGTAGTGAGTGAGGCTCCACGTCACTGGGGTACAAGACATATACTGTAGTGAGTGAGGCTCCACGTCACTGGGGTACAAGACATATACTCTAGTGAGTCAGGCTCCCCGCCTCTTGGGTACAAGACATATGCTGTACCGAGTGAGGCTCCACGTCACTGGGGTGCAAGAGATGCACTGTGGTAAGTGAGGCTCCACGTCACTGGGTACTAGACATGCACTGTGGTGATTGTTGCTCAACGTTTATGGGGTACAAGACATATACTGTAGTGAGTGAGGCTCCACGTCACTGGAGTACAAGACATATACTGTAGTGAGTGAGGCTCCACGTCACTGGAGTACAAGACATATACTGTAGTGAGTGAGGCTCCACGTCACAGGGGTACAAGACATATACTGTAGTAAGTGAGGCTCCACGCCACTGGGGTACAAGACATATACTGTAGTGAGTGAGGCTCCCCGCCACAGGGGTACAAGACATATACTGTAGTGAGTGAGGCTCCCCGCAACTGGGGTATAAGACATATACTGTAGTGAGTGAGGCTCCACGTCACTGGGGTACAAGACATATACTGTAGTGAGTGAGGCTCCACGTCACTGGGGTACAAGACATATACTGTAGTGAGTGAGGCTCCACGTCACTGGGGTACAAGACATATACTGTAGTGAGTGAGGCTCCCCGCAACTGGGGTACAAGACATATACTGTAGTGAGTGAGGCTCCACGTCACTGGGGTACAAGACATATACTGTAGTGAGTGAGGCTCCACGTCACTGGGGTACAAGACATGCACTGTAGTGAGTGTGGCTCCACGTCACAGGGGTACAAGACATATACTGTAGTGAGTGAGGCTCCACGTCACTGGGGTACAAAACATGCACTGTAGCAAGTGAGGCTCCCCGCCGCAGTGGTACAAGACATATACTGTAGTGAGTGAGGCTCCACGTCACTGGGGTACAAGACATATACTGTAGTGAGTGAGGCCCTACGTCACTGGGGTACAAGACATATACTGTAGTGAGTGAGGCTCCCCGCAACTGGGGTATAAGACATATACTGTAGTGAGTGAGGCTCCCACGTCACAGGGGTACAAGACATATACTGTAGTGAGTGAGGCTCCACGTCACTGGGGTACAAGACATATACTGTAGTGAGTGAGGCTCCACGTCACTGGGGTACAAGACATATACTGTAGTGAGTGAGGCTCCCCGCAACTGGGGTACAAGACATATACTGTAGTGAGTGAGGCTCCACGTCACTGGGGTACAAGACATATACTGTAGTGAGTGAGGCTCCACGTCAATTGGGGTACAAGACATATACTGTAGTGAGTGAGGCTCCACGTCACTGGGGTACAAGACATATACTGTAGTGAGTGAGGCTCCACGTCACTGGGGTACAAGACATATACTGTAGTGAGTGAGGCTCCACGTCACTGGGGTACAAGACATATACTGTAGTGAGTGAGGCTCCACGTCACTGGGGTACAAGACATATACTGTAGTGAGTGAGGCTCCCCGCAACTGGGGTACAAGACATATACCAGTAGTGAGTGAGGCCCACGTCACCGGGGAACAAGTCATATACTTGTAGTAAGTGAGGCTCCACGCACTGGGAGTACAAGACATGGGGTACAAGACATATACTGTAGTGAGTGAGTGAGGCTCCACGTCACTGGGGTACAAGACATATACTGTAGTGAGTGAGGCTCCACGTCACTGGGGTACAAGACATATACTGTAGTGAGTGAGGCTCCCGTCACTGGGGTACAAGACATATACTGTAGTGAGTGAGGCTCCCCGCAACTGGGATACAAGACATATACTGTACTGAGTGAGGCTCCCCGAAACTGGGGTACAAGACATGCACTGTGGCGAGTGTTGCTCCACGTCACTGGGGTAAAAGACATATACTGTACTGAGTGTTGCTCCACGTCACTGGGGTACAAGTCATATACTGTAGTGAGTGAGGCTCCACGTCACTGGGGAACAAGTCATATACTGTAGTAAGTGAGGCTCCACGTCATTTGGGTACAAGACATGCACTGTAGTGAGTGAGGCTCCACGTCACTGAGCTACAAGACATATACTGTAATGAGTGAGGCTCCACGTCAATGGGTTACAAGACATGCACTGTAGTGAGTGAGGCTCCACGTCACTGGGGTACTAGACATATACTCTAGTGAGTCAGGCTCCCCGCCACAGTGGTACAAGACATATACTGTAGTGAGTGAGGCTCCACGTCACTGGGGTACAAGACATATACTGTAGTGAGTGAGGCTCCACGTCACTGGGGTACAAGACATATACTGTAGTGAGTGAGGCTCCCGCAACACTGGGGTATAAGACATATACTGTAGTGAGTGAGGCTCCCCGCCACAGGGGTACAAGACATGCACTGTGGTGAGTGAGGCTCCACGTCACTGGGGTACAAGACATGCACTGTAGTGAGTGAGGCTCCACGTCACTGGGGTACAAGACATATACTGTAGTGAGTGAGGCTCCACGCAACTGGGGTACAAGACATATACTGTAGTGAGTGAGGCTCCACGTCACTGGGGTACAAGACATATACTGTAGTGAGTGAGGCTCCCCGCCACTGGGGTACAAGACATGCACTGTAGTGAGTGTTGCTCCACGTCACTGGGGTACAAGACATATACTGTAGTGAGTGAGGCTCCACGTCGCTGGGGTACAAGACATATACTGTAGTGAGTGAGGCTCCACGTCAATGGGGTACAAGACATATACTGTAGTGAGTGAGGCTCCACGTCACTGGGGTACAAGACATATACTGTAGTGAGTGAGGCTCCACGTCACTGGGGTACAAAACATATACTGTAGTGAGTGAGGCTCCCCGCAACTGGGATACAAGACATATACTGTAGTGAGTGAGGCTCCCCGAAACTGGGGTACAAGACATATGCACTGTAATGAGTGAGGCTCCCGTCACGTCACTGGGGTACAAGACATGCACTGTGGTGAGTGTTGCTCCACGTCACTGGGGTACAAGACATATACTGTACTGAGTGTTGCTCCACGTCACTGGGGTACAAGTCATATACTGTAGTGAGTGAGGCTCCACGTCACTGGGGTACAAGTATACTGTATGAGGGCCCCACTGTCACTGTAGTGAGGCTCCACGTCATTTGGGTACAAGACATGCACTGTAGTGAGTGAGGCTCCACGTCACTGAGGTACAAGACATATACTGTAATGAGTGAGGCTCCACGTCAATGGGTTACAAGACATGCACTGTAGTGAGTGAGGCTCCACGTCACTGGGGTACAAGACATATACTGTAGTGAGTGAGGCTCCCCGCCACTGGGGTACAAGACATATACTGTAGTGAGTTAGGCTCCACGTCACTGGGGTGCAAGAGATGCACTGTGGTAAGTGAGGCTCCACGTCACTGGGTACTAGACATGCACTGTGGTGAGTGTTGCTCCACGTCACTGGGGTACAAGACATATACTGTAGTGAGTGAGGCTCCACGTCACTGGAGTACAAGACATATACTGTAGTGAGTGAGGCTCCACGTCACTGGGGTACAAGACATATACTGTAGTGAGTGAGGCTCCACGCCACTGGGGTACAAGACATATACTGTAGTGAGTGAGGCTCCACGTCACTGGGGTACAAGACATATACTGTAGTGAGTGAGGCTCCCCGCAACTGGGATACAAGACATATACTGTAGTGTGAGGGCTCCACGTCACTGGGGTACACGACATGCACTGTAGTGAGTGTGGCTCCACGTCACAGGGGTACAAGACATATACTGTAGTGAGTGAGGCTCCACGTCAATGGGGTACAAAACATGC